GTTTCCCCTCAATTGTCCCTAGTCCCAGCCGAGTTTGGCGGCCATTTTTGAAAGTCGTATATTGAGTTGCTTTTCTTTTGGACATGACGCTATGAAATGTCATAAACAGTTTTGTCAAAACTATGTACCTGAAAAGGGAACAAGTAAAAATATCGGGGATAATGTTGGTATCTTTGATATCGATAGGTGTTCCAGTCAAGGTCCGTGGAATTTCAAAGTGTTTTTTGTATTTTTGAGAAGYTGTCTTTACTTAACCGTTGGTATTTGTAAATATATAGGCACTAAAATGGGGCTTACCCTGAGTAAATGAGTCTATAATCAAGGAACACAGCGGYATTTGACTAATAGTTCCCTTCACACTAACGGTGAGCTTGCAATGATAGAGACATGTGAATAATTGTCCAAAGTGTTTACCTTTTAAGCTGGCGCAGGGAACTATGAAGAGGACTTTTTGAAAACGATCTATTCCTCCTTGTCATTTTGTTAACAAACATATGTGGATCGGTGATTTTTTAGGTGCTTCTTTTTCCAACAAGCAGCTCTACTCCCATTATCCAATACTTCAGCTAATGATACAGCATTAACTTGTTTCTCAGAATGTTTTACGGGAATCGTATTGAGAAAATCACACCTGATTCATTCAAAGGATTACGGAAATTAATAACCTTGTAAGTATTAATCTATTCTTGTTGGTTGCGTGTCATAGCTTAATAGAGACGTTTCTTCAATTTTTAGATGAAGCGTGTTAAAATTAATTAAAGTTATCCAAGCTTTACGATTTAGGGTCCATCTTCATTGGCTATATTTGATGATGATGATAAAAATGGCGATGATGATGATGATGTTAATGATGATGATGATGATGATGATAAAAATGGCGATGATGATGATGATGATGATAAAGATGGCGATGATGATAGTGATGATACTGATTGTGGTGATGATGATGATGATGATGGGGATGATGATGATGATGGTGACTATACTGATTGTGATGATGATGATGATAACGGTGGTGACGGTAATGCAATGTTGATGATGATAATGATTATACAGTACTATATCATGATACATGATTAATATGATGATGATG